GGGTACATTCAATACTTTTCTCCAGCACCACAGCTCAAAGGCATCAATTCTCCTTCTATCTTCCCTAGTCATTGTCCAACTCTCTGATGCATAACATGTGATTGCAATGACCATGGCCTGTATCAGGCACACCTTAGTCTCCAGAGAGACACCGATCAAAACTATATTAAAAAAATGATCTGATTGAAATAATGAATGTCCTGTCAGACTGAATAGCGATTTCCTACACTGTGCGTGGGGTGAGTATGCGTACATGGCACCTAAAGCATCAATGAATAGAACATTGATTTTCAAATGCTAAACCAACTACATAGAATTTATTCTGGGTGTAGAAAATTTGTGTAATAAATGAAGATCAAACAATCATGACATAACCTTTTTTCTGCATTGTTGTATTTTGTATAGGTTCACGGGGGTATTGTGTTTTCCAGTAACATCTTTACCATATCCTGTATCTGTATAAAGGAAGTTAGGAATAATTCTTCCGTTTACATTTTCAGAAAAATCTATTCAGGACTCATATTGTATATACTTTAAATATTTCATATGATTTAACACAGAAAAACCCCATAATCATGATATAAAAAGCTAAAGAGAAGTTTACAGGCATATATAATCAATTTTAATAGGTATAGGAAGGGAGGGAGGGGAAACAAGAAATTAATATATTGCAGTACTTTTAGGGAATTGACTGTTGGTTTAGTGTGCCATGGAGTTGGAAGTTGGATTATAGCTGAACCTCCAGCTTGTTTTCGGAGGCAAAGTATGTCACAGAAGGAGATTGCCACACTTCTCCCTAGGAGTAGGTGATAGATTAGAACTGTGTGTTTTTGGTGAGCAGTCGGTGGATATCACTGGTTTGACTTTGGGATAGCACTGCAGTGCCTTACCACCAGAGCTTCCTTAGGATTTCAACGTCCAATCAAATCCTGAATTCATTACAGCAATCAATGATAAAGCAAGTCAGGTGGCTTAGTGTTAAGAAACATCACTGCTAACCCAAAGACATGCTCTAACCTGCCAGTTGCCCCACAGGAGAAAGATGGGCAATCTAGTCCTGTGCAATTGATTACCTACCTCTGAAAATCCACTGGAGAGTTAGGTGTGAGTTGATATCTACTCAACAGTACATAATGACAAGAGTCAACTATAATTCATTTGGGAACTCCCATGGCACAGTGTTAGGAAGCTGCACTGCTAAGTTAAAGGCATTAGATACAAATCTACCTCCTATTCTGCAGATATACAATTTCCTCTCATGTGATTTACAGCCTCTGAAAACTCTGAAAATCAGCTGTGGATTGGTACTGACTCAATGGCACATAATATTAATGGGAGTCAGTTATAAAGCAAAATATCAATGAATAATTGTATGGGAAAACTTGTGATTTGTAAACCTTCACTTAAAAGAATGAAAAGCTTATCATTGTAAATACCAGTAAAAGAAGTTTCAAGGGAGTTTATTTCTCTGTGTATGTAATCACCAATATTAAAAAAAAAGCTGATTAAAGACACAAAAGCAAAACTACCTCCCACTTAAGTACAGTGTTTAAAAACCTACTTCTCTTTGCTCAGGTACTGGCACAGGATAGAGCGGGAGTGAAGGCTATTGCACATAGGGTCACTACGAGTCGCAAGCGACTCAATGGGACATAACAACACCATCAACAACAACTTTCATATGGGATATCAATTGACTTGCTTCAATTAACAGATGTAGCTTTGAATGGACAGCTGTCTGGCCAACAAATTGAAAGGGGTCCATATTTGTTCCCATTCCCAAGAAAGGTGATCCAACTGAATGTGGAAACTATCTAACAATATCATTAATATTACATCCAAGCAAAATATTGCTGAAGATCATTCAAAAACAGCTAGAACAGTATATAGATAGGGAACTGCCAGAATTTAAAACAAGATTTAGAAGAGGCCATGGCACCAGGAATATCAATGCTGATGTGAAGTGGTTCCTGGCTGAAAGTAAGAATTATCAGAATACCTATTTGTACTTTATTGACTATGCAAAGGCATTTGACTGTGTAGATCATAACAAGCTGTGGCTGAGATTGAGAAAAATGATAATTCAGAACACTGAATTGTCCTCACGTGGAACCTATAACTGGACTAGGAGGCTCTTGTGTGAACAGAGCAAGAGAACGACTGCATGGTTTAAAATTGAGAAAGGAGTGCACCAGGGTTGTATTCTTTTTAATTATTTCTTTTATTCCATTTGTATGCTGAGCAAATAATCTGAGAAGCTGGGCTCTATGAAGGTGAGTGTGGTGGCAGTATTGGAGGGAAACTCATCAATAACCTCCATTATGCAGATGAAACGTCCTTGCTTGCTGAAAAGCAATGACTTGAAACACTTATTGCAGAAGATCAAGGAATGCAGCCTTCAGTATGGATTGCATCTCAATGTCAAGAAAACAAAGGTTTTTTTCCCCCATTGGACCAATAGGTAGTGTCATGATGGATAGGAGACTGAAACCGTCAGCAGATATATCTTGCTTGGATCCACAATTAACACCCTTGGTACTAGCAGTCAGGAAATAAGGAGACACACTGCACTAGCAAAGTCTGCAGTTAGAGACCTCTCCAAATTATTGAGGAGTAATGGTTATGTTTGAGGACTAAGGTGTATCTGATTTAGGTCATGGTCTTTCAAATCACTTGCTATGCATCTGAGAGGTGGACAATGAATTGGGATAATAGAAGAATTTATGCCTTTGAAATGTGATGTTGAAGAGCACTGAATATCCCATGGATGGTCAAAAGAACAAACAGTGCTCTTTTGAGGCAAGAATGATAAAGCTTCACCTCAAATACTTTGGACAGGTTGCTAGAAGGGGCTATTCCTTGGAGAGGGACATAATTCTGGCAAGGGTGGAGGGTCAGTGAAGGAGAGGCAGACCTTTAGCCAGGTGGATCCACATGATGACTGCTGTGTCTGGGAGTGTGAGGATGGTGCAGGGTTCAGATCTTTTCACGGTGTCACTACGAGTCATACCCAACAGCACCTGATAACAACAACCCTAATATGGACCCATCACACTTCACCATATTAACTTATTTCACTTGATCTTCAGGTATTGGATGATATTCCACCATCATCCTAATAAGATTATTGTTCTTATGTGTTAAAATCCTAGAAGCATGTGCTGAGTACTATTTACTGTAGTACTCATGTACTAAACAATACTTTAGTAATGAGTAAATGCTGTGTTAAGATTTAAGGAATACAGGGAGTTCTGGTGGCCTAGTGGCAAGAAGCTGCACCGCAAGCCCAGAAGTACGAGGTTCGAGTCCACCAGATGTTCTGCTGGAGAAGGAGAGGCAATCTCCTCCTGTACCAGTCAGATCTGATTTGACGGTACATGCACAAAAAATAATAAACACTAAAAAAATTTAAAAAAAGATTTAAGGAATAAATAAGACAATAAGTTATGTACTATAATTTATTAAGAGTTATTTGTCTTACAAAATTGAATAAACTGAGAAAATCCAAGTCTGTACCATTCAGTTTTAGAGAACACTTTTACAGTATTTTCTGTGATTGTTGATCACAGTTCTATTCAGGCTGTATTCGTTCACCATGCAAAGAGATATCTATCACTATGTCACCTTAACTTATTCCACATGCATATAATGGTAGCTTTCCAAATAGTTTCTATTTAAAAAAACAACAAACATGTTAAATCATGTAAACAGCAACAAAAGAGCAAACAATATAATCCTTAAGCTTATAGAATCCATAGTTAATTAAGTAAACCACATCGCTACACAAATAAAAGCTTAATTTTCAATGTTACATTTCTACAACATGGGCACAAAGACAATCAATCTTAGATTCCCTGTATATTTATAAGGATAACATCCTTCCTCAAACATCATGTAGAAAATTTACCCTTTATCACTAGGGGTAAGAGGAGCTTTTGGTCAGCACTCTCGATTTCACCCGGCTCTTGGGGGTATCTCCAGGGAGGGCTGCAGCTCTGGCTTGGGCTCTTTCTTCTTCATCTTTCAAGGCCTCTTCATACCAGGATGGAAAAGACCTTGGGTCAGTGCGCTGGCTCTTGGCCACAAACTGCAGGATTTTCATCTTAGTTGTTTCAACATGGGCCCGTGGGCCCCACAGAAATTCATACTGTGGGGGATCACTATTGGGCACCTGTTGATATTGAAGGTATTTTTCTTGCACCAAGTCTTTGGTGATGAAATTCTTGGGATTTCCAAAGATGAAGTGCTTCTGCTCAGGATATATACCTGTACCACTCAGGACTTTCCAGACTTCCTCTTCAGTGGCCCTGTTGCCCTTCATGAAGATCACACCCAAGATAAGTATGAGGAGGCCAGACTTTGGCATGCCCTCTACTTCACTCAGCAGCCCATCATAGGTGAGGCCTAATTTGATGTGAAGGGCATAAATGTTGCTGCCGGGATCCACCTCCTTCAGATCCAGACCAAAGATAATCTCCAAGCATTCAGTGGCTCTCATGAGGATCTCAGGAAAGTATTCTGCATACTCTTCCATGACAACATTCATCATTTCTTCCTTTGTAATCAGCTCTTTCTTTTTGTACTTGGTCAGCAGGAAATCCACCAGGAAATCTATCTTTTTTCTTATAAGATCTTTGCACATATTCACAATG